ATAACAATTTAATAAAGCAATCCTAAAATATTAAATTTAAATTGAATTCATTGAACCAGTATAAAACCTTATTTTAGAAGTTTTTATACAAAAAAATTACAATATATAACTCATTTAAATTGGGGTTAAAAGAAAATGAAAAAAAAAATTTATCTAAATGCACTCTTTGTGCTTTTAGAAACCACTAAGTAGTAGTTAAGTAATGTAGTTTAACTTAATAGTGCAATGATGTATTCAATGGTTGGTGTGGCAAGTTTAGCTTTAGTAACTGGAAATGCAATTGTATTTTTTATTTTACTCGATTTATTATAATCAGAGATTTTTTTTTGTAATACTTATACTATGAACTCTTTGCAACCAATATTAAATTATTTGAAAGTAGATTAGTTATTGAAAGAATTAAATGGAAAAGTAAATTAGATTAGGTTAATAGTAACTTATAGCCAGACTACGAGATCATTTTTAAAGAGCCATTCAATGCAAAAAGCTGCTATTTTACTGTCCTTGCCTCTATTTTAACCTATTTACTTTATTGCTTTAGTTCAAATACTTTAGGAAATTTTATATTAAAATGGCTTAAAAATATCCAGTAATTACTAAAGTCATGAAATTTATCCTTCGATTTAAAAAATATGTGTAGAAAAAGTTTAAAAATTAAAAATTGATATTTTCATTAGGAATTTTTCAAGATTATTAGGCTATTCTACTTTAGTTAACTTTTAGTGTATTGTTATAATATCCCAATTACAGATTGATTCTCTATTTGAAATTCTCAACACTATCTATACTATATAGGTTTAGGGTTCATTTTAATATCAAACTTTCCATTATTTTCAATTACCACAATAAATATAAAAATTATAAAATATTGAGGTACTTCTATTCAGAATCTAAAACTGAATTTTTGAAAGGTTAATTTAAGTCTTTACAAATTTTTATTCTTTATTTTCAATATTACAGAATTAATCAATTATCCAGTATCATAATCAATCCTACTTCTATGCAATCATTTTTCTTTTTGATGTATTTAATTAGAATCAAACCTTTAAAATCTCTTTTTGAACCCACTAAATTAGTCGTAATGAGATTGTATTTATGAATATTATAGGGACTTTTTTATTTTATAGCTTTGAATTCAGTTAAGAACTTTTATTCTAATTGGTTGGATTCATGTTACTCTGTTTTCTGCTATTATAAAATTTAATTTATTTATAGAAATACTCTAATAAATCAAAGCAAAAGTATGAGACTTACTTATTAAAAAAACAAAAAGAAGAAAGTGAGTTGGGATCTAAATAGAAATTGTGTAATTTGCAAGGATTTTCATTAAAAGAGTATGATTAATAAATATAAAATGAGATGTAATTCTAATTCAGTAAGCCTCAATTAAAATTCTTTAGAATGTAATTACTTTGTTAGTTTTAATTACTACCCTAATTATTTTTTTGAGTTTTAATGGGAATTGTTTAAAATATAGGAAAACTTTTAATTTTTTTCTTTATTTATCATAAATTACTGCTTTGATGAAGATAATGTTGTTGATCTAGTAATCAATTGATTGATTAATTCAATCAATAAAGATGAATAAAGAGATAAGGAATGAAAAGAGGCACCTTAAGGACCCTACAGAATGTCTTCCTCATCACAACTCTTAGTTTGTTGTCTTTGTTTGAACCTTCAAGTCCTGGAGAGTCCATGTAAGCACAATAAGACTAAATGTTTTTGAGCATCGTATAATTGATGGAAAATTGTCATTTACATAAAAAAGTTATGTTGTCCCATCAATCTAAAAGCCCTAAGCTAGTTCCTCACCACTATGGCATTCCTCTTCTCTCGGAACTGCCACACTCCTCCGCTTCAAAGATCATTCACCTCCTTAAGCTCGGAGTACTTTGATTTCCAAAAATTGAATGCATCCAGAACTTTCTTGTACTGGTCTGATGACCATAAAATGAGAATGTGGGAGTTAAATAGAGAGATCGATATCATTTTGTAATACGAGTGTATAAATCTCCTTAGCATCCGTTAGTAGTATCATGTTAAATGTCAAAAATTATTTTGATATCTATCTCACTTATATATTCCAAATATGTTTTATACAGCTCTGCATTTTACATTAAAGGTAAAAACTTTTGTCTTTTTGTAGTAGCATATGTTTATGACACAAATTAAATGCATGGTGAACATGTTCATATACTTCCATCATCATAGCTGGGGAAGTCAGCATACTTGTGTGGACTTTATATTACTTGTGAAGTATGGATGAGCATCAAACCCATAAAATTTCTGTCGATTGATCGGTTCATATACATAACACCTCCCCTCGTTTGTCCCTTTTAGAACAAAATTGTTCTTCTCTACCAGATAAACTTCCTTATCGGACACTCGCAGGACCTGCACTTCTCAGACAAGGGATTTTTTATTGGTGTTCCATATCTTGAGATAACAGTTTCAAAGTTCTGCTACAAAAATGGGGTTAGTTGAATAGAATTCACCTTTAACCCTTGAACCTTTCCTTTGTTATCACATCCTTTGCATTTTCACAATGGCAAGAAAAACGCTAAAATAAGAGGGATAGAAGGAAAATATCGGTGGTAGGGAAGAGGAACAGGAATAATAACAAAATTGATAATCGGAATCAGAAAATAATAATCGGAAGGATAAAATGGCTAAAAATAGATAGACATGCCATTAGTTATTTTTATATTCCATAATAAATCAATTGAATATTTATCCGCTCTTGCAGCCTCATAAATGCTAAATTTACATTTCTTTTCTACTTTTTAATTAAAAATGATTGTAATCTACTAACTACTTATAAAATAAATGAACTGAACAGAGTAAGATATTATTTGTTAAGGAGGCAGTGCTCTTGATATTATTTGTTGAAGATCCCCTCTCTCACAGTACATGAAAGAGAGGATCATTGTCAGATAATAATATTATCTTCTCCCAAAGGTATTCATGAAAAATTTTTTCATAAGGAATATTTTTTCCCAATAACTACTTCAAGGGGTCAGAGTCATAAAAAATTGCGTCAGCTGAGAGACAACGATTTCTAAGACTCCCTCATACTTATACAAAGCCAAATCCAAGCGCAAATTCTACTCATCTTACACATATTCATTTAGTTTCCTAAAAATTCTAATCATTCTCATACTCCAAAATATTTGTAAAATTCAGATATTCATTTATTTTTTCTATTTATTCATTATTTTTTTCACAATAATATTAGAAAACATTATCAAGTCCCTTCTAATCCCCTTTTTTAAGACAATTTTGGCCTCCTAAAATCATCACTCTCCGCCACACTTCAAAACACAACGGCTAATCAACTAGATAATTTAGGATTTAAGGATTAGCTTTAAATTTTAGAATTTGGGGTTATTACCTTCAAAAAATTCTCTTACGAACCTATACAAGTTATGAGTATGTACATTATCTTATTCTATAATCTAAAAAATAAGTTAGAGTTAATAACATTTTCTAGTTATTTTTGTTTAATATAAGTTTCAATATGAAGTAATAGAAATTCAATAATATATAAAAAAGAATGAATTGTAATTATCATATTGAAAATCCAGTATAACTGATATGTATTGCTCCTCACAAGTGTTAATGCTAGAGGAAATTGTGTGTTGAATGCCAATATGAACATGGAGAGAATTTGAAGAACCATACTATTCCAACAAAGATATTTCAGCAGATGATTATAAAGAAGTTAGAGGAATCTTTGCCTAAATAAACAGATGAAATGACTACTTAAAGATTGAATTTTAAATAAATGTTGTCTTTAACTTTGAGGATGCTAAAATAAATTTGGGAAGAGTTGGAGAATTCAATTAAGCTGATATATGATTATATAGAAAGGGAAGAGAAATCTTATTAGAATTTTCACAATGTAAATCCAATGGAATTGTCAAATACAGAATTAGAAAAGTTGGTTTAAATTATTATTGGAAAAAAATTAGATGATTGGAATGATCAGAAAAAATCATTATTAAAAAGGTTAGAAATGACAAAGAATTATTGGAACTAAGAAACGAATGGTTTTTGTGAAAAGTTGAAAAACGAAATGAAGGAGATGCTGTAGTTAATTATATAAGATGATAACTCATAAATAAAGTCAGTTTATAATAGAAATGAAGATTTTTATTAGGTATTGATTTAGACAAAGAATTTTGAAGGATCCTACCTAAATGAGTTACTTTAGATGATGAGAAATTAGAAAATTACTGATTGTTTAAAGTTTTTTTAAGATTAAACTCAGTTGAAATTTATCGCATCATTGATGTAAAATATTTGCGAAATAGACTTTAATAAGAAGAATTATTCAACTGAGAACACTAAATAAATGAGAAAGGGCTTGATAAAATAAATATCTTATGATTAGCACATCATTTAATTTTTTAAATTCTTAATACATTTGACAGCCATTGATGAGAAATTTATCTAATGTGGATCAAATTCAATCAATATATTAGTAGAAATGAAGGCGGATTTGAGAGAATAAAGTTTTGAGAATATAAGGATTAGAGATACTTCTTTGGTTGGTGGAAATTTTGTAAGATGCAATTTAAATGGATCATAATTTGATAATGTTGATATAAGTGGAATAAACTTGAATTAAGCTTAATTGTTCAATTGTAAATGGAAGAATATCAAAATACATGAGTTAAATAAAATAGATGGTCATTCTAGTTATGTAAGAACAATTTGTATCTCTCCTGATGGTACTACATTAGCATCTGGTAGTGATGATAACTCTATCCGTTTATGGGATGTTAAGTCAGGATAATAAAAAGCCAAATTAGATGGTCATTCGAAAGCAGTTGTATCAATTTGTTACTCTCCTGATGGT